AACTAGATAAGTTAGACAAGGCAGGGACAAGTTTCTGTAACTTGGCAAGACTTGGATGACCTAACTGAGCATGAAGAAGAGAGGGAGACTCCATAACTGTACTAACATGTGTAGAGGGACGGAGATAATAAAGACCATGAGACTCACATCCTGTGTCAATCACCTATTTCGAACTCCGGTCCTGTAAACACACCGAATTGTTGGTAAAAGTAACAACACAATCAAGAGAACGAGTTAGACGACTGATGGACAACAGGTTAAAAGGAGACCCAGGGACATAAAGAACATTATCAATGGTTAAAGAAGGAAAAAGTTTAACCGTTCCAACACCATGAGATGATACTCTAGAGCCATCAGCCAGTGTAACAGAAGGTAAATGATTAGGAGAGGATAAAGAGGAGAACAAAGATTTGTTACCAGTAATATGATCAGTGGCTCCTGAATCAAAAACCCAAGGACCAGGAGAAAATGATTGGGTCAGACCAGCAAAATATGTATTTGTATGTGTGACAGATATAGTGGAACTAGAAGACTGTTGATCCTTATACCATTCGAGAAATTTGTTGAACATAGCAGACATGTCGGATGCAACAGAAGAAGGAAGATCCCCTACAGATAAAGGTGGGGAAAGATTGGTCTGAACAACTACAGCAGACTGAGGAGGACGACCATGTAATGTATAACACTTGTTAATCTTGTGACCTAGCTTGCCACAATGTTCACACTTAGGACGCCCTTTTTCCTGTTTGCGAGGGCGAGCCCGGTCATCACGATGGGATGTCAACACAAAAGAATCGTTAACAAAATTGGAAATAGTGGAAGAAGTCATGAAGAGCGGGAGAACAAACCCTGACCGAGACAAGCAAAATCATATGTCACCGGTAAAAAAAAAATGAAACTCCGGCGAATTCTCCGACAGCGGCGGACCCGGAGACTGCTCCAGCGGCAGCGGTGACGATGAACGTGAACTAGTACACTAGGTAAGTTCCCAGGAAAGAGAGGTGGGTCACTAATGGACACACTTAAATACCAAGTCTTTCCTTGTCAGAACTTTCCTAAACATGCACTTTCACACTACCAAATAAAATTCAATGACAAAGATAATTCTTTTCGATGTGGAGGATCGGTCTACGCGACGGTGGTGGCGGCTTTAGCGGCGGTGGGGAGGCTCTAGCAGCGGTGGGGCGGCTCCAACAGTGGACAAAAGGCGGAAAAAAAAAATAATTCAAGAGAACCTTAAGCTCTAGATACCATGTTGAATATAGAGAAAATATGGTTTGGAATTAATTTCCCTTGTGTATAAATCACATATAGGGTAGTCTATTTATAGTAGAGATATACAACTAAAAGAGTAACTGAAAGTAACAGAATAAACAGAAGATATTGTTTGATATTGTGGTTACCAATATCTAACAATATCTTAACAATATCAAATAATATATAAACAATATCTAACAAAAATTAGGGATAGAAAATATGAAACCACGTTCTACTTGTTATTAAAGTAGATATTGTACTTAAGAACTTTAAGTATATACAAGTTAAGATGATGACGGTGGAACCCACCACAATCCCCGAAACCACCACCATGATTTAGGGTTCACGAGTATCAATGTAAGATGTAAAAATGTTTGATAATAACAATAATAACACAACCACAAAGTTGTCCCCTTCAAACGGGGATTTGTCGGTTGGGTGAGGGTTTCCACTTCCTCATCTCTTCTACCTTCAACTTCTCTATGCTTCCATCCTTCACCTTCACTTCTATTTTTTTATATTGCTTTCTTTTTTTATCTTTTTGACATGAAGATGCCCAATGATAATTTTTTTTCGCAATATTATGACTCGCAATTTACAAAGTTGACGTAGTGATGTGGTTTCTTCCAATGAGATGTAGCCGCATAGATTGGTCAAACCTACAAATATCTTATTATTATTACTACGTGTTCTCACTAATAATCCCATTTAAAGCTTTGGGTTCAGTGGGAGAAGCAATGATTAGTGAATGGATTTTGACGCCACTAAAGTCCTTTCCCACGAGGATAAAAACTCGGAGAATGTTCCATTGGTGCCCTTCAAATGGGACCCCTTTCCACCTCCATTTTCATCACACGCTTCTAACCCCATCTCGTGGGTGTGAAATAGTATGCTTCTCTTTCAATTCTTCTTTTGTTGGTTATGGATGATGAAGAAGACGATGAGATGAGATAATGTATAGTTTGGTATGCAAGAACTATGCTTTAGTGATTAAAAGTGTACAATCACAACATAAAAATGATACAAGCATGCTAAAAGCCTTGTTTTAATAGGAATCCAATGTATGTATTTTGGTATGGTCATAAGCAATTGAAAATATAATCATCAAAGAGCAAGTGGAGCACTATCGACTCTCTCTAACGATCATGCTTTGTGACTGAAAAATAAATAATAATAATAATAATAATTATTATTATTGTTCTATTACACTTATTAAGTTTTATATCATTTAAAAATTTAGATTAAAAATAATTTATATATATTATCTCTTTTATAAAAAAATTAAAACAAACGAGAACTTCAAAACAAACGATATTTTAAATGTAAAAAGTAACTCTAATAAAATTATTTTAAACAAAATAATAATAATACAAATTCACGTTGGACTGTTAAGTATACATAAATAGCTTAAAAGAATTCATTACTTAGTATAAATAACTTAATACAAATAATTTCTACCAAGTTATTGAAACGCCTAATTACCTTTTAACTTAAAAAAAGGACAACATATTGAACAACTTTCTCTACTAAAATAAAGTACAAAACTTTAATTGATTCAAATAATTGATATTCTGATTGCTTAGTTTGTTGCACAACACAAATTAGGATGGATACGTCATCATTTTGTGTTTACTTAGATGATAAAGTTGAATTCCTACAACTCGTGAAGATGAGCTTAATATAATGCAATCTGTGTCAAATCTTACATTTATTTTCCATTTAGCACTTATTTACTAAGAATTTTTAAGGTAAATATTTATTAGATTTAACATTTCATGAAAGCAACACACAATTCTTACTTTCTTGTTTAGATTGATCACATAATTCTTACTTCCTTAGCAGAAAATTACTTTATTTAGGATTGACATTTTGCTTCAATTAAAAAACAAACATCATTCTCTTCTAAGATTATTTTGAGAAGGAGTATTTTATCTTATATTATTCTTTGTTACTTTTCTCATAATTATATATTTTTATTTATTTTCTTTATGTTTGTATGCACTCACCAGACATGATTTTCCTACATAAAACTTCATTTGTGTTACATTTAATATAATTTAGCTAAAGTAGATATCAATTAACATCAATATCAATTTAGGAGTTGAAAGTGATGGATGGAAATACACAGAAGTCCAGGATACATTATTCTTCCAAATAATTGATACCATATCTTGAGACATGATCATATATATTAGAATTTTTAATATTTTATGATTTTTTTTACAATCTTTCTATAAATATTTGTGTAAAATGATTTTGTTTAACAATAATTTATTTTAAATAAAAATATAGTATATATAGGAGTTTTCTTAATATTTTCTTAATTAATAGAGAATTTTGGGAGAATCCTTATCAACTTTAATTCTCCTAATCGAAAAAAATATTAAAAATATAATATATATATATATATATATATATATATATATATATATATATATATATCAAATCATATACTTGAAGTCTCAGATTGTGCACTTGGCTTATTATATATTGATTTTAATTTGAATCAAGTCAACGAGCTTAAAAAACAATTGAGATATTTCTTATAAAATAAAATACAAATGATTTTAATAGTTTTACCTGATAATAATTAGTTTTGCTCATGACGTTAAAGATAGCTGTGGTTAGAACATAAGTCATAATGAGGTACTAATATTTTCGGACGCAATTTACTTCCAATATTTGGTTCAAATTACCTTTCAAATATTTTTCTCATCAAAAGATAAATTCTGGTATATTAATTTTTTTAAGATAAAATCACCATAATTTTATACGAAACTCTATATGTTCACATGTTATTTAAACATTTTATATAATAAATTCAAATCTAATGTGAGAAAAAAAACTGATTTTATCTAATTACAAGAAAAAAAATTGAATTTGCTATTCGTTGAAGAAAAAATTTAGAAATACGTACGTTTATATCCTGCATTTTTCTTCAAAATTCTTTTTAATTTTTATATTTATATTGATTAATTTAATTCCTTAACGTAAAAAAAATGTTATTTTATTTTTATGCATAAATTTAACATTTAATGATGTTTTTTTTGCTATAAAAAATATATAAGTTATTAAACTTATAAAATATATTATTTTAATTTTCGTATACGTAAATTTAATAAAAAAACTATTATCATAAAATTGATAAAATAATTAACTTTTTTAAAATAAAAAATAATTAATTATAATTTAAAATATCATGATTATAATCAATTTTTTTATAAAACAAAAAACACATTTAACCCTAAATGTGAAAACAATTAACAAACGCGTCATGCTTACACAATGATTAAAGTTGATTTGAAGCTATGAAACACACATGAAGGGCATAATAATATGAAGAAATGAAAGTAGAAATATTAGGAAGGTGATGAGAAGAATGAACGCAAAACATCTGTCTTTTTTAGAATAGTTGACAGAAAGATAGTGCATTAAACACCCTTTAGAGTGAGGGTATGTAGGTTTAGACATGGAGAATGCAAAGGCTTTGTTATAGAAGTTAGGAATATTAGGGTTTTAATAATTGGTGATAGATGACCATACAGATAAAGTGTATTAAGATAAGAGGAGGGAGTGGTAGAATGAATGGACCCCTGAGTATAGAGTATAGAAAACTGACCTCTCTCATTCAGGGCCCCATATACGAACCCCTCATTTATTTGACACAGTTGATAGGGTTTGGTCCCCTCAGACACTCATACGAGCCATTCCTTTCATTCCCATAAATGACTACTCACCCAAAGATGCCTGCACTAAATTTCATCATCACCCCCTCTTCCCCCTGTTTCATACCTCTCTGCATTTTCCACTCCCTTCTCATATCTGCTTCATCCTCAACCTTATCATTCAGATACCACAATTTGCCAGTGGATGTACATGCCAAACAGTACAAAAAAACCTTCTACACTGCTCAATTTATTCCAAAAGTATCTTTATATATATATATATATATATATATATATATATATATATATATATATATTTCAACATAAATGAGAAGATATTTAATATATATATATATATATATATATATATATATAAATTATTCATTGAAAATTAAGAAGACAATGTCAAACATTCCCTTCTACTAAAAGTCAAATATGAGATAATATGATTGTTTATTATAATAGATATTTTTTTAATACTATTTATTGTAATAGACTTTTTCTTAGTATTGAGGTAATATTATTTATTATAATATATATTTTCTTGGTTAAATGGATTTTAGATATATTTATATTATTCACCTCCATTTTGTAGATATAATTTATCTATATTTATTGAGTTTATTATGGATTGCTTTATATATATATATATATATATATATATATATATATATATAATATTAATGAATATATGAGTATATAAATTCAAATATAAAAGAAAAAACAATAATAAACAATTATAATTAAACATAATAAAAAAAATCGATTGATTTTTTCTGTATCTTACTTTGGTGATATTTAATTTTGAGGAACATAAAAAAATATGTTGATTAGAAACATCTTATAAATATATTTGTAATTAAAAATAAATTCAATTATCTTAATATAAAATAATTTGTGTAATTGTGTGGATGACGGATATATGTAGGTATGACTACGAGTTTTATATATATATATATATATATATATATATATATATATATATATATATATATATATTACAGTAATTATTTTTATTTAGGGTGTTTTGTTGAGTAAGTAATAATATTTTTGTACAAATGATTTTATTTTATTTTACTTATTGAAGATTTTTTTTTAATTTTAATATATATTTTTTTAAGATTATAACTTTGAAACGAAATATATATTTCTTCGTAGAGAAATCTTTCTATCAATGAATTATAAATATAAGAGAACCTGACATTTTGACTCAAAATCTATAAGATTTTTGGATTATATATATATATATATATATATATATATATATATATATATATTAATTACTTATCTTTTTACTATAATTAATAATAACAAAATATGTTTTATTAATCTTCTTTTATAACGATTTAATAATAACTAATTTAACAATTAAAAAATATTTATAAGCGTTTGTTAATGGATAAAGAAATATTTTATCTTATTAAAAGAATTCAAAAACTTATCGAGAATGCATTATAAAATATTTCTTAAATAGTAATTAATATATTTTTTATTTTTTTAATAATTTTCTTGATCTATAAAATGTCTATATGTAGTTTTTTTCAACCCATAATATTCTTCTTATTGTTCTTATATTTTAAAACAAATATAAAACAAAATATTCTTTGAAGATTTTTGGCTATTGTTATTGTAAAATACCGTCTATAAAGAAAATGAGCAAATTTCAGTTCAAAATTATTTATTTTTCCTATATACCCTTTCCATCAAAATGTATTAATACTTTTTTTTTGTAATTGACTTTCATAAATTAAATAAAAGCAAAAAAAATAAAATAAAATCAGATCATTATATTATTTAAATTTTATGTATAATAACAATTAAAATAAATATATATTACTATTATTATTATATCCTAATGTGTTTAAGTTTTTTTTAATAACAGAAGCAAATTATTTCTCCCTAGGAATAATTAGAATTTAGATTTGAGAATCATGTGGCTTCATTAATGATTTGAGGGAACCACAAGAGTGCTACAAACGTCTTGAAACGTTCATTGAAAATAAGTGTGTTTTTTATTTTTAATAAGTTCGATGGAAAATATTATATTCTGTGGTGATAAAGACTTGTCATAAAATTGTTGAGTTGTGAGGTCTAATTTGCATTAAGCAAAGTCTTTAAAGGATGAATAGATGGGTATGAGAAAATTATTGTAATTGACCTAACCCTACTTATTGATGGTAGGCTAGGGACTCAAATTCTATATTCTTCATGATCTCCATTTTTATGCTTCAACACATGTAAAATAATAATGGTAAATCTTCCTTCGAAAGGGACTCATGATTAGTGATGGTTATATGACGGAGAAGGAATGTTTTAACTTCTACGAGTTCATGATAGGGTATATAATTTGGACCAAATGTTGGGATGCGAAACCTTCATAAGTTCATACATTTTCTCCATCAAATAAATTTAAATATTTTTTGTTATATATGAATTGACAAATGTTATTAATATATTACATGCATCGAACCTAATTCAAACCAATCGAATTGTATATTCATTGAAATTTAAAATATAGCCAATTTATTTATAGATATATTCTCTTAATAAGGAATATCTGTCTACTGTAGACCTGAATGCTATATAAAACCTCGTCAACTTATTCTTATATTTATAAACAAATTATAAAATCTCACAGGGTTAAACTAGACACAAAATTTAATAAATATAATTTTTTTAAAATGCGTTGTAAAGGTAAGCTTGTTAATCTTCGATATTCATGCATGATGATGGTTTAATAGATGAGATATATTGCTGAAAGCAATGTGAATAACAATGAATTAGTAAGTGAATGCTAGCATCAAAGTCAAAAAGTTATAACTTTAAAATAACATTCGTTTTGTAGACGAGACTATATCGTTGACCTAAATGTGGACAACCAATTTTGTTTTTATCTTTTCATCCATCGTATAACCCAAACTCAAAAGTAGATATTGTGTCCACTTTCGTTATTTAGTGTTGACTTTTGGCTATTGCTAGATCAGGAGATTCTTGCAAGTTTTTTATATGGATGGCTTTTAAACTTAATTATATTTTAAATTAAAAATTAAGAAGTACAGGTGAAAAAATAAAAATAAAAATAAAAATAAATACAAATACTTCATATATGATATCAGGATATATTTTAATAATCAAAGTGAATGTTCAAATTTTTCTCATGAAAAATAAACCTTAAACCAAAAAACTCGTATCAAAGAGTAGAAAACGTCAAACATGATAATTTCCGAACAAAAAAAAGGTATGTTTTTTCTTAGTTTTTGAAACTCAAGTATTTTAAAAACTTATTCAAAAAATTTATTTTCAATCCCATATTAGTTAGAATCAATATAATTGTAAAGAAAATGGACCCAACCTGAAAATCATACTCTACCCACTTAATTTCGCGTTCGTGTTAACTGTTCAACAAAGTTATTATCTTTATATTAATTTTTTTTAAATAATATGATATAATGTTTTAATTTATATAACAATCTAAATTCTTGATTATAAATTGAACAGTAAATATATTTTTTCCAATTTTTATACACTAGATTTTATAGGACTTTAGAGAATCTTACAAATGAGTTAATTAATTAATTAATTAATGCTCAATCATCTTGAAATATTATTAGGATGCACGAGTTTACAAACTTCATGTGATTGATTTAATTGATTTTATATTTTTCTTATAATTTTTTGCGCGTTCCCACATATAAAAAATCCTTTTTTATTTTAAATTAAAAGATTTAGTAACATGTGATTTAATTAATATTGTCGTTGCAGATAACAGCAATGTTTCAGCGTTACTTTTTGAAATTTGGGTCAAACTTTTAGGTGTAACTAATTAATATATATATATATATATATATATATATATATATTATTAATTATAAATGATAATTATAAATAAATATAATGTTCTTTGTCATTTTTCAATATCAAAACTTAAGCCCTGTTAAACAAATTTGTTTATAAAAATTAAAAAATAAAATAAAGTTAACACTTATTTTTAAAAATAAATTTCAATTTTTTATTTTTAAAAAAATTGTTTCATACTTAATTTTTTTAAATTATTGAAAACTAAAAAATAAAAATTAATAAAGAATTTTTATATTTTCATTAATGCTTAAAGCTTTCGTCAATTTATTTGCACTGTATTATTGATTATCATTAGTTTTTACTTTTTATTGTGATTTATCGTTGCCAATGTTAATTATATTCTTTTATCTAAAATAGTTTTTAAAATAGTATTATCAATTAATTTTTTAATTTATTTTTCAAAATTATTTAAAAAAAAGCAAAAAAGTGTTTAATTTATTTATAAATTAAAATTAAATTAGAGATCATATATATATATATATATATAATTATTTGTATAAATTTTTAATTTTTAATTTAAACATAAGTTAATTTTATTACATTTTTTATATTTTATATAAAAGTGTTCAATAAAAATTTCGTCCAATACATACTTTAATAAATTGATTAAAATATGATGAGTTGATTCTAGAGGGAGTTTGGTTCATTGCCCTTTGTTGATCGTTGTCATGTTTCCCAGAGATGCAAATTTTATTGGGACCCAAAACTTGAAGCAAGGCATGTGAACTTAGATTATCAACAATCTTAACTTAGTTTTGTGAGTTTGATTCAATCCTTTGCGTCATATATTTTCATATGTTAGTATTGGAAAAAGAAGATCTTTTAGTTAATATTAGTCAAAGATTGCAGCATTCATTTTTGCATTGTTTATTTATGGAGAGCAGGTGAGAAGAATTGACCATTTTAAGAGTACCTAAAAATTTGAAACATCTGAAAGCATGACCTTGAGTGCTGAATCACATGCATATTTCTTTTTCCAATTATAAGCTCTAACAATGCAAGAATTATGTGGACATAACACACCCATTTAAGTGGGAAACAAGGTTTAGAAGTGCTTATTATTATTTTTTTCTGGTTTCTTTCATCACGGACGTAGTTCTTTTCTTTTGTCATCCTTAAAATACATTTTATTATTTTGCAGTTTGTTCACTAAAAAATTTGTGAGTTCGAATCTAGTTGAATTTTTTTTTTATTAAATATGAATTAAAATGAACTTACTCACTTAATAAAGAGATTCATGCTAAGTTATATGCCTATAATTCACACTATATATTTAATTTTTAAAATAATCAATAATATTCGCATCACTAATCAACAGAGTCACTTTCACTCAAAGTTACTGTACTTATTATTGTCCTAATCAGTCAAATTTCCATTTCATATTTATGTTACATCCACCATATTTAATATTAAGCAAATTATAAAATCTTTCATTTAAATTGGATTGAACTTGACTATTTTTAGTTTAACTTTAATGATTTTATCTTTAAAAAAACATTTAATTTATCATAATAATATCATCAAAGACAAATGAATAGAGAAAACAAATTTATTTTTAAAATATATAAATTAAAGTATAGATAAAATAATTAGTTTGTATGATATGAAATTCAATTTCATTTTTAAAATTCATATAAATAAATAAAATGTTTTTTCTCACTTTAACTTTTTATCAATGTAATATAATTAATATGAGAACATTAAAGTTGATAAAAGAAAAATAAAATTACAAGGCCATTTTGGAACTGCAACATGTTAATTCCAATTTCTTGAAATCGTAACTATTTTCGACTTCTATTTGCATCTAGAGTCATTATTATTAATTGTATTTCTTACACATAAACACAACTCCAAAAATTGTAGCAATTTTTCTCTTACAAGGCTCACCATTTTCACGGTCACATATATGGAATATTATAAATAGTAGTCAAAAGCTAATGTTAGGTAGCCTAATCAATTATATTTCCCGAAGTAGCCAAAATCACGTTTGAAACTAACTTATTTTTTATTCTAGTTTGGGGTGTTCCAACCTTAGTTTAGAAAATAAACTTCGTAACCTATTTAATTACTTTAAAAATATATTTAAACATTAAAATCTTGTCTGAAAATATAGTTTTGTAAAACCAAAACTCGAATTGTTTTTCTAAAATAAATTTTAACATAAAATTAAGTTTGAAAACTTAAATTATTGGTTATGAGAAAGCCACGAAGGGTTCATATATTAGGGTCCACGTACGTGGTGTATGTAAAGAAAATGTCTGCATATGATGTTTTAATGGCCAGCTAGGAGGTCCTAATGGTGGCCAAAACGGAGAAGCAACACTGATTTACATGTGGAAACGTGCTTCTATTCAAACCTTCCACAATTATTTAACCTAATTTTCACCCAATTAAACAGTGACTCTTGTGAGTTTGTGCTCCACTTGTTTCATATCATTGGATATATCACATGCAGATTACGACAAAAACTGATTATTTTTTCTTCTTTACCTGCTAATGGTGAAAAAATGTTGCTAAACATTTCATTTAACACACTTTTAATTATTCATTATCGTATCCTCCAGATTAATTAAATTTATTTTGTAGAGAATGTTTTAATTTGTATTTAAAATAAAATGATACATTAACAAAAATATTAATATTAGTATATCCATATTTTTATAAACAAAAAAAAATTACTTAAAAGAAAAAATGTTTAGTATATGAATAATTTTAACACGGTATTATATATGATATAATAATATATTTTATAATTAATTTCGATTGAGTTTTGAATTCTAGTTCAACGAATCTATTTTTAAAGATGACGTATATAATTTATTATTAGTCTCAATTTTTAATGATATAAATAATATAATGTATTATAACAAATATTAATAATATATATATTTTTACAGTAAAAAAAATAATATATATATTTTTATCGAGAGAAAAACATTCGGTAAAGAAGTAGTATCTACACTAACAAATTAATATGCATTTTTCCTGCCTTTTCTTCAATATTTAAAAGTATGTTTAAAGTTCTTTGATAATTTTATAATTTTTTAAATCTAAAATTTAATCTTAAAGTAAAATTTATTTGGCATGTGTTTTTAGATTTAGGATTTTGAAATGAAGAAAAAAATGAAAGTTAGTAATCAAAAGCTCCTTGAAAGCCTTTATGTAATAAAATCTCTTTGTTCAATCTTTTCGTGAAAAAAAAATTATTATTTTTTTAAAATTATGTTGAGTATCTTCGTGGATTATTTTAATAAATAATTAAAATGATATGAAAATAATTATTTTATACATTAAGTTTTGACAATTTTCGTTTTTAATAAAAAAATTAGGATTTTTTGTTTTTAATACATTAGTTAAAATTTGATGGGTCTTAATATATCACATTTTGGTTCATCTACAATTTTAATGCATTAATATGACTTGAAGTTTAATAGTTTTTTTATCATGTATAGTGACAACTTCTAGCTTCTTACGATTTTTACCGTCTTGAAAGTGTACCTGGTAAAAGTTTTTATTAAAATAAAAAATTATAGTGACTAAAAATCACCAAAAATATTAATTTTAAATAATATAGTTTAGTTAGGATTAACTAATAGGAATTTGAGTTGAAGTTCCATCTACTAGATTCAACTTATTATTATTTTTTTACTAATTTTCAAATTCAACTTAATAATAAAATAAATTATTTATAAAAGATATCATCAAATCGTTAAGAAAATTACTATCTCATAAATTAATTCTCAGTAACTAATATGTTTATTGTAACTTCTCCCTCCCTTAAAAAAAGAAAAAAATTCTTCCTTCCCCTCTCTTGCGCAGAAAGAAAAAACTCAAATAAAACTGGACAAACTATGTAACATTTGTAGTGAAAAATACTAACAATATTTAAACATTAATTCGTGTTCCACTAGAAAAACCTATTATTTTATGTAGAACTAGTTTCTTGATAATATAAAAAATATAGTTTTATTGTAATTAAACTTTTTGTTTTGAAAATATTTTCAACCGACTATCTAAGATAATAATAATAATAATAATAATAATAATAATAATAATAATAATAAAATTTAATTCTGATATTATGATAAAGTTTCAACATAAAAATTAGTTTAACAGATTTTTAAACCAGAATTCATGATAACACGAGTGAAAATATACAGGAGTTCCATTATTTTCTTTGAAACTAAGTTTCCTTTTTAATCTTTAGGATGAAGTAAACAAAGTTGACAAAATTTAGGCAAACTGTGCGTTAATATGTTCATAAACAAAAATTTACACAATTCTTTAAGTGATCATTGATTTGACTAGTATCCCACACTGTTTGGGGCAAAAACAAGGTTTCTTTAACTTGTGCTAAAATCTCCAAAGATGACGTGCAGGAAGAGGTTGACTTTAAATCATAAGTTGAACAGAGTGAGTGCTGAAGAGGAGGAGGGGAAGAATTGAATAAAGGAATTGTCAGTGGCTTTATGAACTGACAACGTCACTTCACGTTCACATTCACATTCCTAGACCCAATAAACTCCACAGATACAATATGAAAGAAACTTTTAACAAAGACGCGTCGGGTTAAGGAAAATTGGTAGTTGCTTAACTTTAGGCATACACTAGCATGTGAGGTGAGTCATGGGCTAGGACCTTGTGGCATGGCTTTTACAGATAATAATAGTAGTAATAATAGAAAGAATATCTTAGTATTTGTTGGTGAGAGTGAGTGAAGAGAGAGCAAAGGGTAATGCATGTTGATTTTGTGAAGGAAGAAGTCCCACATCCGTGGAAACTTCAATTGGGGGCTCTCCTCCTTCTTATAAAAGGAGCCCCTCCCCCCTTATTTTATACATCCCAAAATATTTCTCCTTCTTTCTCTTTTACTTTCCTAGTATTGGTAATTTCCAATTGTAAAAGGAAAGAGTGGTCATTATAAAATTTTCATTTTTGTCTATTGTCAGGGTTATTTTTCTCGTCTCTATTTTAGTTGTGTGTATTTATGCTGGTACTCTGATCCTAACAGTGGTATCAGAGCTGCGTTCGAGTTCCGTTGCGCGTCACTAGAATAGTGTTGGTAAAATTCCGAGTATGCTTCGTGGTTGCGGTTTAATCGATCTTCCACATCGAAAGGAGTTATTCTTGGAAAAGGTGTGGTAGTGTGAAAGTACTATTGAGGAAAGTTACGGCTAGGAAAGACTTGGTACTTAAGCGTGTCCATTAGTGACCCACCTCTCTTTCCGGGAACCTACTTGGTGTCTTGGTTCACGGTTTACTACTATTGTTCCGGTAGACAATACTATTTATAAGTGATAGTTGCATAAGTCTGTATACAACCATGGCAGCAAAGTACGAGATAGAGAAGTTCAACGGGAACAATTTCTCGTTGTGGAAATTGAAGATGAAGGCAATCTTGAGAAAGGACAATTGCGCAGAAGCAATTGAGGGAAAACCTGCAGAAATGACGGATAAAGATTGGAAGAAAATTGACGGCAACGCTATTGCAAATTTACACTTGGCAATGGCGGACTCGGTTCTATCCGAGTGTTGCGGAGAAAGATTCCGCAAAGGAGATTTGGGATGCCCTCATTAAATTATATGAGGTGAAGTCACTTCACACAAGGATATTCCTGAAGAGGAAACTCTATACTCTTCGGATGAGTGAGTCCACATCGGTGACGGACCACATCAACCAACTGAACACCTTGTTTGCCCAATTAGCAGCAGCAAATTTCAACATAGTTGAGAATGAGCGTGCGGAGCTCTTACTTCAGAGCTTGCCAGACTCGTATGATCAACTCATCATCAACATTACAAATAATAATATTGAAGGACAACTACACTTTGACGATGTTGCCGGAGCTATTCTAGAAGAAGAATCCAGGCGAATGAATAAGGTAGAAAGTTCTAAACAAGCAGAAGTTTTGACGATGATGAGAGGAAGATCAGCGGAACGTGGCTCAAGTGGGAGTCAAGATCATGGCGAGATCTAGCTCTCGAAACAAGAAGACTTTCAAATTTAAATGCTACTACTTGTGGCAAGAAAGGGCACACGAAGAAAGAGTGTTGGAAGAGGAAGAATGAAGAATCAACCTCACAAGGTTGCATTGCGAGTACTTCGAGAGGAAGGAGTAATTACGGTAGCGAAGCAGCAATCGGCTCTCAATGGCGGAAACGAATTTCATGACAAGTGGATAATGGATTCGGGTGCAACTTGGCATATGACCCCATACCGAGATTGGTTTCAAACCTACAAGCCTATCTCGGGTGGATCCGTGTTCATGGGAAATGACCATGCATTGGAGATTGCTTGGAGTTGGTACTTGTCAAATTAAAAATGTATGACGGTACTATTCGCACAATCCAAGAAGTACGACATGTGAAGGACTTGAAGAAAAATATATTGTCTATAGGGCAATTGGATGACCTCGACTGCAAGATCCATGTTGAAGGAGGAATCTTAAAGGTAGTGAGGGGAAACATAGTTGTCATGAAAGCGAGAGAAAATCATGGCAAACTTGTATGTGCTTATGGGAGACACCTTGCAAGAAAATCATGCAACAAGCTGCGTCGACAAGCCAAGAAGAAGCGGCGATAACGTGGCACCGTAGACTTGGACATATGTTAGAGCGAGGTCTGCAGATTCTTGCGGAACGTGATCTCATACCCGGGCTCAAGAAGGTCGATTTACCCTTCCGTGAGCATTGTGTGACAAGCAAACAACACGGGTTGAAGTTTGCAAGAACCACCACAAGGAGTAAGCAAACTTTGGACTTGATCCATTCGATGTCCGGGAATCATCGGAATTATCTCTTGGAGGAGCAAAATATTTTGTGTCGTTCATCGATGACTACTCGAGGAGATTATGGGTATACCCTATCAAGAAGAAGTCCGAAGTATTTGCGCGGTTCAAAGACTTCAAAGCACAAGTAGAACTTGAGACCGGAAGGAGAATCAAGTGTTTGAGGACGGACAATGGAGGAGAATATGTAGATGGAGATTTTCTAGCATTACGCAAGCAAGAAGGAATTGTGAAACAATTTTCTATTCCACACACGCCTCGACGAGAATGGTGTAGCGAGAGCGGATGAATAGAACTCTTCTAGAGAGAACCAGAGCTATGCTGCAAGCTGCGAGGCATAACAAAGTCTTTACGGGCGAGAAGACGTGAATACTGCTCTGTTACTTGATAAATCGGTCTCCATCAACAGCAATTGGGTTGAAAACTCCTATGGAAATGTGGAGTGGAAAATCAACCGATTATTCTTCCTTACATGTGTTTGGTTGTCCCGCGTACGTGATGTACAACACCCAGAAAGGACGAAGTTGGATCCAAAATCCAGGAAATGCATCTTCTTGGGATATGCTGACAATGTGAAGGGGTATCGCTTGTGGGATCCCACTGCCCACAAAGTTATTGTTAACGAGAGATGTCGTCTTTGCGAGAAAATGAACTGCAAAGCAAGCGGATAAATGACGACTCGGAAAAGGACAAGACTATAGTACGAGATAGAGAAGAAGACTTCGGAACATTCCTCCGAGTTAGAGGAGGAGCATGAAGAACATGAGCCAAATGAGGTGGAAGAAGGAGAACTCCGACGATCAACAAGAGAAAGAGTCGAGACCATCTTGGCATTCACAATATGTGATGGCAAGTCATGATGCGTATTGTCTCCTAAGTGAAGAAGGAGAACCTTCAACTTTTCAAGAGGCAGTGAGTGGTTCGAAGCTCCTCTATGGATGGTCTGCTATGGAAGAAGAAATTGAAGCTCTTCATAAAAACAAGACATGGCATCTTGTGGAACTTCCAAAAGGTCGCAGAGCCATTGGTTGCAAATGGGTCTATAAGATCAAGAGAGATGCCAATGATCAAGTAGAAAGATATCGTGCTAGGCTGGTGGTAAAAGGATATGCTCGGAAAGAAGGCATTGATTTCAACGAGATATTCTCACCGGTTGTTAGATTGACAACAATCGAAATTGTCCTGGCGATGTGTCTTGCATTTGATTTACATCTTGAGCAATTGGATGTAAAAGCTGCTTTTCTTCATGGAGAACTTGAAGAGGAAATATATATGCTCCAACCAGAAGGCTTCAAAGAGCAAGAAAACTTGGTTTGCGGGTTGAACAAATCTCTATACGGTCTAAAGCAGGCGCCAAGGTGTTGGTATAAGAGATTTGATTCCTTCATTATTAGCCTCGGATACTACGGACTAAGTTCGGACCATTGTACTTACCACAATAGGTTTGAAGAAAATGATTTCATCATATTGCTTGTTGTATGTGGATGACATGTTGGTGGTAGGCCCTAACAAAGCTCGAATCCAAGAATTGAAGGCACAATTGGCTAGGGAGTTTGATATGAAGGACTTGGGACCAGCAAACAAGATTTTAGGGATGCAAATTCACCGAGACAGAAAAGATAGGAAGATTTGGCTTTCTCAAAAGAATTATTTACTTAAGATCTTGCGGCGCTTCAACATGCAAGATTGCAAGCCAATTTCTACCCCACTTCCTGTCAACTGTAAGTTATCCTCAAGTATGAGTCCTAGCGAGTGAAGCGGAGAGGATCGAAATGTCTCGAGTACCGTATGCATCGGCGAGTGGGAAGTCTTATGTATGCCATGATTTGTACAAGACCGGACATTGCACAAGCGAGTGGGAGTGGTTAGTAGATTCATGGGGAATCCCAGTGGAGAACATTGGCAAAATGTGAAGAGGGTCCTTAGGTATATAAAAGGAACCTCAAATGTTGCATTATGTTATGGAGGATCGAAGCGGTTGTCGGAGGTTATGTAGATTCGGATTTTGCAGGTGATCCGGATAAAAGGAAGTCTACTACTTGGTTATGTGTTTACCATCAATGGAGGGGCAGTAAGTTGGTTATCCAAGTTACAAGATGTGGTAGCTCCGTCTACTACGGAAGCTGAATACATGGTCGTCACCCAAGCATGTAAAGAAGCTATCCGGATTAAAAGAATAATGGGGGAACTTGGTCACAAGCAACAACAAATTGTTGTGTCTTGTGATAGTCAAAGTGGCTTACACATTGCAAGGAATCCGAGCCTTTCATTCGAGGACAAAACACATAGGAATAAGATATCATTTTGTTCGAGAAGTAGTAGAAGAAGGAAGTGTAGACTTACGGAAGATCCACACTGAAAAGAACCTAGCAGATGTAATGACAAAACCAGGTTAATGCGACAAGTTTATATGGAGTCGATCCCTCATGGCCTATCGGAAGCATAAGCAACATGGATGTGAGAGAAGAAGACATAGTGTGAAGATTTGATTAATTTCATCAAAATCTTCAAGTGGGAGATTGTGAAGGAAGAAGTCCCACATCCGTGGGAACTTCAATTAGGGGCTCTCCTCCTTCTTATAAAAGGAGCCCCTCCCCCTTATTTCATACATCCCAA